GCAGAAGCTGAGTACAGAGCACTGGCACAGGGAATTTGTGAAGGGATTTGGATAAAAAGGGTTCTTAGTGAACTGGGACAAATGACTTCATCTCCTATTCTAATGATGTGTGATAATCAGGCAGCAATCAGCATAGCAAAGAATCCCGTGCATCATGATAGGACTAAGCATGTTGAAATTGATAGACACTTCATCACAGAGAAGGTGACTAGTGAGACTGTTAAACTGAACTACATTCCTACCAAGCAACAAGTTGCAGACATCCTCACCAAAGCTCTACCTAGACCTAACTTTGAAGACTTAATTTGCAAGCTGGGATTATATGATATATATTCTCCAGCTTGAGGGGGAGTGTTGAATATTTGGAAGTCAAAGTTAGGGAATTTATTTTTTAGGAAAGTATTTTAGGAATAAAAGGAGAGATCGGTTGTGATCTTCTCCTGTGATTCTGTTCCCTGATTGTTAGGAAAGAATCAATCTAGTTAGTTATTTCCTTTATTAGATATTGTTTGTATATATGCAGATACAAGACTGATTTTAGAAAGGATGAAGAAATTCAGAAAATCTTCAATATCCTATTGGCTTTGATCCGTGAGGTAAATCTACTAAAATCCAAGTACTATTTCCCATTATAGAATCCATTTCATTATTGATAGCTTCTTTCCAAAATGAAGCATCTCTAGATGACATTGCTTCTATAAAGGTTTTAGGATCATCACCTGGATTAAAACTTATAGGATGTTTATTTAAAACATTATTATTCCTATCACCTTCAACAAGAAAAATAATTTGTTCAGGAGAAATAAAATCTGAAGGTAAAGATTTCTCTTTTCTTGCTCTAGTACTTCTTCTTGGCTCTGATGTTTCTTTAGATGTATTCGTTTCCTTAGCATGAAAATTAGAACTAGAAATATTATTAGAGTTAAGCAGAATAGGAATATTTTCAACATTTTCAGAATCTACAGAAACTTTATTTTCAAAAAATTTAACATATCTAGATTCAACAATAGTATTAGAAGATAAATCAAGTAGTCTATATGCTTTGCTATTTTCAGCATATCCGATAAAAACACTTTTAAAGGCTCTAGGTCCAAGTTTTGTCCTTTTAGGATCAGGAATTCTATAATATGCCAAACACCCCCACACTTTAAAATATGACAGATTAGGTTTTCTACCTTTCCATAACTCATAAGGGCTTATATTTGACTTTTTAGAGGGAATCCTATTATGAATATAACATGCTGTGTACAATGCTTCTCCCCATAAATTTAAAGGTAACTTAGCATTATTAAGCATACAATTTATCATTTCTTGTAAAGTTCTATTTTTTCTTTCGGCTAAACCATTCTGTTGGGGAGTATAAGATGTTGTACATTGATGAATAATGCCATGTTCTTCACAAAAAGTATTAAAATTATCAGAAAAATATTCACCACCTCTATCAGAATGTAATACTTTAATTTTCCTTTCAAGTTGATTTTCAACTTTTGTTTTGTATTTTTTAAACATATCAAAAGCTTCATCTTTTGTTCTTAAAAGATAAACATACATATATCTACTGCAATCATCAACAAAAGTGATAAAGTATTTTTTTCCTCCTCTAGTTAACATACCATTCAATTCACATATATCAGAATGTATTAAATCTAAAACTTTAGAATCTTTGCGAGAAACACTTGGAAAAGATTTCTTTGTTAATTTAGACTTAGCACAAATTTCACATTTATCAAATTCACCATTAAAGTTAATGAAGTCTAACTTTCTCATATTTTTCAAATAGCGAAAATTTAAATGTGCTAAGCGATCATGCCATAAATATGAAGGCTCAACAATATAAACAGAAGATATAACTTTATTATTAATACTTAGTTGATATATTCCATCACAAGAGTAGCCCTTTCCCACAAACATCCCGTTCTTAGACGGGATAACATTATTTGACTCAAAATAAACCCGAAACCCTTTCTTACAAAGAAGATCAACAGAAACTAAATTCTTTCTAACTTTGGGTACATACAGAACATTTATAAGAGTCAATTTCTTTCCAGAAGTAAAATCTATATCAACAGTCCCCTTTCTAGCAACCTTTGCACAAGCATTGTTCCCCATTTGCACTTCTGTAATTTCTGAAATTTCTTCAAATCCTTTGAACAAGGATTTGTCCTTGCAAACGTGGATTGTTGCACCAGAATCAAGCCACCATCCAGACTTAACAGAAGCCATATTGATTTCAGAAATCATAGCGACCAGATTCTCTTCTATCATATTTGTAGAAGCCTTTGATTTTATATTATTATTTTTTCTGTGACGACATTCTTTAGCAAAATGTCCAGGCTTGCCGCAAATAAAACATGATCCCTTTTTCTTCTGAAAATTCTTCCTTTTAAAGTGTTGTCCACTTTTCTTTATTTGAAGGTTCACATTTTTTACCGAAGATTCTTTCTTTTCCATAGTGTGGACCTTACAATCACTTTGGACAGAATTTTTCGAATCATGTAAGCGTGACTTCGAGTAATCTTTCCAATAGATATCCTCTTCAATTATAAGATTCTTCTGAAGTTGTTCCAAAGAGATATCCTCAGTTTTATGCATTAGTTTCTTCGAGTAATCTTTCCAAGTTGATGGTAGTTTTACAATAATTGCAGCAACTTGAAAAGACTTTGGAAGAACTATTTTGAGAACATGAATATTATTAACCAGAACCTCCAATTCATGAACTTGCTCTAGGACAGACTTGTCATCAACCATTTTATATTCTAGATATTTTGCAATTAAATACTTGTTTGTACCTTCCTCCTCAGCTTTGTATTTAAATTCCAGTGCGTTCCAGATCTCCCTTGCCGACTTTATCCTCGTGAAAAGATCATATAATTGGTCCGAAAGTGTATTCAGAATGTGACCGCGACACTACACTTCATCTTCCTCCCGTTTTGCCTTTTGCTTTTTGATTTCTTCTATTTCCTCCTCAGTAGGTTGTTTGCCATCTGCACTTGGTTTTGGATCTTCTATGGGCTGTAGGTTGGGGTTGAGGATGTAGGAGATCTTCAATGCTGTAAGAAGAAACATCATCTTGTCTTGCCAGCGAGAAAAATTGTTCTCGTCGAATCGGTCCAATTTGATCATGTCTTGATTCATCACCTTGATTGATTCCGACTCCATCGTAGCAGAGATATTTCTTTAAGATTTTTAGCTTTAAAAATGAAGGAGACGGAAATTCTGAGGCGTGAAACACTTTCCTTAAAGAAATATTTGCCCACACTTGATATTCAAAGTTGCTGCGGGTTAATGCAAATTTTCTTCCCATGATACAACAGAAAATGAAAATTCCAGTAAACAAATCTGGAATTTTCCTTAATTCGTTGTGAAACAAGTTTGTAATATTACAGATGTTTTTGATAAAAAAGATTCAGAAAAGAATGGTTTTTTTTAGATATCTGAAAACATAAACTATTTATAGGTTTGAAAAGGTGCTTCAAACAGTCATAACTTTTCAAAACACCCCTTGAAGCAAACAGCCACTTTTCAACAGTCACTTGTCTTTTCATAAATTTTAAAATTCAAAATAACATTAGAAATAATATATTCAATATATAATTATATATTAAAAAATAGAACATTTAAGAGCGGCAGCGGCAAGCGCGCTAAGTACTAAGTACGTCTAATAATCGCGTTAAAATCGCGCTACCCGCACGCGGGTTTAGAAGCCTACACTTTGATCCATTATTCAAAGCACAATAAGCATTCAATGCTTTTAAACCTCTAAAAGAATATTCAAAATTCCAATGTGGGACTATCTTATTTTTTAAACAAACAAATACTAACAGACTATGATAGATGTGAAAGTCCCTCTCATCAATATATTAAAACTCTGAAGTTATAATAAGTCTTCGAAGTTATGATAAGTCTTGAGAATTATAGTTTTATATTTTAACAGGTCCCCGCGGTTTGGACATCCTTTTTTATAAACTTAAACTTACATAACTGTAACATTTTTTAATCTGCATTAAATTAGTGGACAACAAAAAAATCAAACCTGGGTTGGCGTTGATACCATGTGAAAGTCTCTCTCACCATTATATAAAAACTCCGAAGTTATAATAAGACTCGAGGATTATAGTGTTATACTCTAACAATAGACATTTAAAAGATGTTGGATTTCCACTTTTGAAGCTTCCAATACGGCTCTCATTCCACGGTCTTGAGTTTAATTCCGGACTAGCCATAAAAAAAATGATGGGTTTTGAGTATGAATTTGATTCCTTGAGATTTACAGCTACGCATTGAAAAACGGAGCCAACGAGTTTAGATATCCTACACTTTCAACGAATGCACTGTTCGAGCATTTTTCATAATAGGAATTTGGGATTGTCACGTCCGACAGATACCTCAAATGTGATCTATGAAAATAGGCACTAATTTTAATTATATTTGTCATTAACTCGAATATTCTCAACAAAGTTCAGGCACAACAAATAAATAAATGTCTGGCTGAATTTTATCCTTCATACTAACCCTCTTCAATAAACATTGCAAACAAACAAGATGTAGTATAGATTTTTCAAAATCTTGTTTACTAAAAAATAAAATCCTTAGAAATGTAGTACACAAACCCATCAGCTCTGTGAGGTGACTATGTGGGTAAAAAACCTATGTCAACCTGGTTTGGCGATCAATATACGTAATCAATTTTAAGTATAACCAACTAGAGCACAAATTGGTACTATTTTTATACCATAGACTCAAATATGTTGTCACTCCTCGCAATCAATATAAACTAACAAAGGAGTTCATCTCGTCATTCTAATGGAGTGCATACGTCTGGCGACTAAACAAGAAAAAATAGCAAGAAAATTGACATGGAGTTGCATGCATATATCATTTGCAAACAATTCCCTCTCACACGAACTTTGCCAATAAATAAAAAAGTACATAACTAGTACAAAGAAAACTCGTTTGCAGCTACTGATCAAGGTTCAGAAATTAACCAAAAAGGGGGAAAAGAAGAAAAGAACATTTGCATTTCCTTTGGACTCAACTGCTTCAGTGGGACGTTTAAAGCTACAGAAAGTAGACTGTAAATTTCAGAGGAAAAAGAGCTTACCCGCCCTGCATAAAAACTCCTTAGCACAACTACCACACTCATAGAAACATATACAACAAACCCCAAAATAAAAAAGGTGTTTTTTTCCTTACATGCAAGAACCAAAAGGAAGAAAGAGTGGGTTTAAGTTTACAATGGGGGCGTCTTTCTTCATATCAAAAGTACAAGTAGATACTTGCATACATATATATGATAATTTACGATCATTTCGTTTGCTGCATCTATTGCTTTTGGTTCAGAAATTTCATCTAAACAAAGGACCAGTTGACGAACATGAAGCAAATGCAGTGAGCTTCCTCTTCATCATTCAACACCTTCCACGCAACTGCTCTCTCGTAAGATATTGGCCTTCCCATGCTTGAAATACATATACCTCCCTGAAGGCACCCGAAACCCTGCTAATTGAAATAAAATATTTTCAAAGTTACAAGAAAGTGCAAACAATTACAGGGAAGATAAATAAAAGTTAAAAAGCAAAGAGCAATTTCAAGATTAGACGATGATAAAAAATTCATTGAGATAAATGACCTATCTTAGAAAGAAATATTCACAGGTCTCAGTTCATTAATGGTCCATCAAAAAAATGTCTACTTTTGGATCTGCATGATATGTACACACTAATTCAAGGGTAGAGATCCAGTTAGTGCACCATTAATGTAATGGACAATGACCACTAGTAAAACTGCGGTAAAAAAGGTTCACCTAGGCACATTCAAACATGAAGTCAATTTCTATTCAAGATTTATTTCCTTTATTTTAGAATCGATATGTACGTTTGATAGGGTTTTTAATCATAAATTCCAATCTCCTTCACTTTGATATAACCCCTCAAATCTTCAATAAAATAACTCCTTAAAATATTCACTTTAATAGCCCCCTTGTCTTCACACAGGGTTGAAGGCTATTGCAGTTATTTTGAGGTGTATATGAAAATTTTTAATATTTTTAAAGTGGTCATACAAATTCTGAAAGATTTGAAGGGGGCATCATGATGACCAGACTGGAAGGGGTAACTTTAGAAAACCCTATTTATATTTTATAAATAGGTGTAAGAGTTAAAGACCTGCTGCATAATATTTGGAAACTCGGTGCAGAGGGTTTTCCGGCCTCGGTCATCAAATATCTTTTCCAAAGTAATGTCTTGAAGGGCAATAAGAGTTGTCTCAAGCATGTCAAGTCCTGCCTGGTTTGAAAAGGTGAAAACCGGCATTGCCTGCAAAAGATGACTAGAAGAGGTAAGCATCATTCATTGGATCAGAATTGATATCAAATATAATCTAATTATCTATCATCCATGTCTTTCCAACAGGTATAATTGTAAAGAGAGGAACATCAACACATATACTTACTAAATGGCAACTTCAAGTTATCAACTAGACATCTTGCCATCAAAATGGAATATGTTGTTATTGAGCATGAGCCAAAGGTCATTAAGGCTCAATAAAGAATTGACCTATTTTTAAGTATAATCGTCAAGCTTACTGGCTTGCTCGAGGTTGGTGCCAGATTTCTATCAAATATAAATTACCAACAAGAGACATTATGATCTGTCAAGGAAACAGCATCAACTCTAAGGAACAGAGGAAAAAAGGAAATAAGGTAACGAGCCTACGGCAATTCTTTGGAATGCATTTGGATGTCCAATAAAATCACGGAAATGTGATTTGAACCAGATTTTGGGAAAATGATCCAGTCACTTTCAGGTGAGTGTTTGGATAGGTCAGAGATAAGAAAATCTTCTACAATCATGATATTGGTGATTCCTAATCTGAATAAAAATTTCATTTTTTATTCTCTCTTGTGTGCATATCGTAACTTACCTATGAAATACCTATGAAAGATTATTTAATTCCAACCATCTTGTAGCCACTAAGCAAGCAGAAAAAAACATTAACCATGCAATTTAGTCATTAATTATTAGAAAGACATTTTAGGCCCATGCAACTAAGGAAGCAATTGTTGGGAAAAAAACAGGACAACAAGACCTTTCTCGTCTTTGAGATGAGATGAGAACAAAAAATAGAAGAGAAAAACAAACAGAGAGAAAGACTGCACATACACAAGATTTACTGAGGTTCAGCTCAATTTGAGCCTACGTCCTCACCCGCCCCTTCTTCACCATTTCCATTAATAATCAAATGAAAGCTTACAAATAGTCTTCTCTCAAATTAGTATAACTTAACTTGAGGATCACTTTATCTCAAACTCACTTGAGAATTACAGGTTGTATGTGGTTCTTGTTCTTACTTCTTGTTTTCGACCTCACCATCTCCACTCTATTTATAGGAAATATATGCCTCTTGGGTACACCACATTCATTGTATGGGGAAAGTCCAAAGACCAGCCCTTCCTTCTCCCAATGCATGGAGAAAGACAACCTATTAATGTTGCATGCAGCTAATTTATCATGAGGATGAACGTCGTTCCCTTCAATCTCCCCCTCCATCCTCATGAGGAGAAAGTTTTCAAACAGTAGTCATATCTGCCTTTCTTCGACAGAAGTCATACTTCACTTTTGGTAGAGGCTTTGTCATCATGTCAGACGGATTTTGGCTTGTATCAATCTTTTTAATGTGCATCAGACGATTCTCCAAAGCATTACGGATCCAATGAAGACGTACGTCGATATGTTTTTTCCTTGAGTGATACTTGATGTCGCTCTAACTGTCACAATAAAGTGTACTTCTCTTGCTTAAGAGATAGCTCCTTCAGAAAATTCTTCATCCACAAGAGCTCCTTGCTGGCTTCTGTAGCAACGATATACTCAGCTTCTGTGGTGGATAGAGCGATACACTTTTGTAACTTTGATTGCCATGATACAGCTCCCCCTACAAAGGTAAATAAGTATCCAGATGTGGACTTTCTTTTATCCAAGTCACCTGTCATATCAGAATCAGTGTAGCCTTCCAAGATAGGTTTTCTATCTCCAAAACATAAAGAATATTTAGAGGTTCCTCTAACATATCTTAGGATCTACTTTACTGCTTCCCAATGTTCTTTACCAAGATTGGCAAGATAACGACTTATCACTCCAACCAGTGTTTTTAAATGCGCACTGAGGCGCGCGCCTGAGGCGCGAGGCGATTCGGCGCACTGGAAGTTCGCCCCGCAGCTGCTTCGGAGCGCTGCATGTTCGTCGAGCGCGCGCCTGAGGAGCGCCCCGCAACGCCCGAAACAAGCGCCCAGGCGATCGCCTCACTAACAGGTGAGGTTCGAACAGGTACTTCTTCTTTTTTTTCCAGTTTTTTTTTCTCGATTTCTTTCTATTTTCTTTTGTTTTCCAGTTTCATTTGTTTTTGAACCCTTCTTTTCTTTTCTTTTTGTTTTCATCCGTCGCTCCTTCTCCAGTTTTCATGTTGTTACTGTTCTGTTCTTAATGTAATGTTAAAATTTAGTGTTAAAATGACGTTACTGTTGCTCTGTTCTTAAATTAATTTTATTTTCTAGTTTCATTCTGTTATTTTGCTACTTATTTGCTTTGTTTAATTAGATTGCTTGCTTTGTTTTGATTTGATGTTAGTGAACTCTTATTTTGCTACTTATTTGCTTTGTTTAATTAGATTGCTTGCTTTGTTTTGATTTGATGTTAGTGAACTCCTTAAGTGTTCAAGCTCTTTGTTTTGATTTGATGTTAGTGAACTCCTTAAGTGTTCAAGCTGCTTTGTGTTTTTGTTTTGATGGATAACTTGATTTGCTTCAATGATTAAAACTTTATTTTGTGATCTAGTAGTGTATATTTTATTTATCTTGAGTCTGAGGTTACATTTTCTGTGTGAAATTTCAATTTTTTATTGAGTGCGCCGCGCTTCACTCGGGCGCGCGCATCGCATTGCGCCTTGCGCATGTGCGCGTAAACTGACATTACGCCCCGCATTGCGCCTCGCGCATTGAAAACACTGACTCCAACTGCATGTGCTATGTCGGGTCTTGTACAAACCATAGAGTACAACAAACTTTCGACGACCGAGGCAAATGGAATGCTCTTCATCTCCTCCTCCTTCTCACTTGAAGGGCTTTGTTGTGTACTTAGCTTAAAATGAGCTGCTAGCAGTGTGCTGACCGGCTTAGAGTTCAACATATTGAACCTCTCCAGAACACGTTCAATGTATCTTTCTTGTGATAGCCACCACTTTCTCGCACTTCTGTCTCAAGAAATCTCAATTCCCAATATATGTTGTGCTGCTCCTAAGTCTTTTATGTCAAATAACTTGCTCAGCTCTTTCTTTAACCTATCAATTTTAGACATATCTTTTCTAACAAGCATACCATCAACATATAGAGAGAGAATAATGAAATCACCATCCGAGAACTTTTGGGCATAAACACAACGATCTGCAGATGTTCTTTTGTACCCAAGGTCAAGCATAAAAGAATTAAACCTTTTATACCATTGTCGCGGTGCCTGCTTGAGTCCGTACAAGCTCTTCTTCAATTTGCAAACCAAGTGTTCTTTACCCTTTACCTTGAAACCCTCTGGCTGCTCCATATAGATTTCTTCTGCCAAATCATCATTGAGGAATGTTATCTTCACATCTAACTGTTCAACTTCAAGATCATGAGAAGCAACAAGACCAAGAATAACCCGAATAGAAGATATCTTAACAGGAGAAAAAATTTCTTCATAGTCAACACCTTGCTTCTGACTGAAACCTTTCACCACGAGGTGAGATTTGTACTTGACTTGGTCATTTCCTTCATTCTTGATTTTGAACACCCATTTGTTTTTCAAGGCTTTTCTGTTCTTAGGTAGCTCTATCAAGTCATAAGTGTGATTCTTATGCAAAGAATTCATCTCCTCTTGCATAGCTTTCTTCCACTTTGCACGATCATCATGAACTTGCGTTTCATGAAAACTTTCCGGTTCACATGCATTTGTTACCATAGTATACTCTAAAACATGGTATCTATTTGAGGGTTGTCGTTCTCTCTCCGACCGTCTCAACTGAGATATTTGTGGCTGATCCATATATGATGATTTTGCATGTTCATGCCCCCCTGATCAAAAATTAGGAAACCTACAATTTCTTCTTCTTCCTACATATCTTGACAATCATTATTTTCTAACATGGGAGAAGAAAAAACAACTGGTGTAGAGATTAGATCTGGGATGATATGAGTGTTTTGTGGCTCATCTTCTTTTTCAAAATCAACAAGTGTTTTATCTTCACAAAAGCATCCCTGCTCCTCACAATTTTCTTATTTTTAGGATCCCACAACCTATACCCAAATTCATCATTTTCATATCCTCCTAGATGCATGGAATAGCTTTATCAAGTTTTGTTCTTTTCTCCTTAGGTACATGTACAAATGTCTTGCACCCGAACACCCGCAAGTGAGAATAGAAAATATCATTTCCGTTCCAAACTCTTTCAGGAATATCTCCATCCAAAGGAACTGAGGGGGACAAGTTTATCAAGTAGCAGGCTGTTCGCACTGCTTCTCCTCAAAATATTTTTGATAATTTTGCTAAGGATAGCATACTCCTTATCTTTTTCCCAATTGTGCGGTTCATCCTTTCTGCAATCTCATTGTGTTGTGGTGTGTGGAACAATCTTTTGATGTCTAATGCCATAAAAAAAACAATAATCTTCAAATATCCTTTAAGTATACTCACCACCATTATCAGTGTGAATGCACTTCAAGAGCTTTCCGGTTTCTCTTTCAACTTTGGTATGAAAGTCTTTGAAAACTTCAAAGACTTGATCTTTGGTTTTATGACATACACCCACACCTTTCTAGATGCATCATCTATGAAGATCACAAAGTATGAGGCATCACTAAAAGTTTTTTCATTTATGGGTCCCCGCATACATCCGAATAAACTAAGTCTAATATGTCAGTTTCCTTTTTGTTATAACTTAACAAAAGGTACCTAGTGTTGGTTTTCCAATCAAGCAGTGATCACAGTGAGATAGTGTTATACCTTGCATGGATGGAAAACCTTGCAAGCGTTTGTAGCCCTTTCTCGCTCATGTTGCCAAGCCGTTTGTGCCACAAATCCATAGAGGTACATTCCACTGTTCCAAGTTCATCATTCTCTAAGTGAAACCGAGTCTTATAGAGTGCAACACTTCTTTCCTCTCGCTAATACAAGTGATCATTTGGTAAGCTTCCAACATCCTTTACTAAAGTTGCTTGTATATCCTTCTTCATTAAGCTTGCCAATGGAGAGAAGATTGGGATGAATATCAGGCACAAATTTAACATCTTTTA